TTTTTTTTTTTTTTTTTTTTTTTTTTTTTTTTAAGTTTAAGTATTTTTTAGACCAAATATAAAAATTTAATGGTATTTTTAAAAATTAATTTAACCTTAAAAATATCATTTTGGATTATTGATTTTAGAAATTTGGCATGCAATAATATTTTAAGAAAAAAAAAAAGATAATATTTTAAGAAATAAATTAAATATATACCTTCAAAAGCTTGCCATTTATTCCAACTAGGTACCAAGAGGGACAATAGGGACCCAAATATCCATTTTGCCCTAAATTCATTAAATCCAAAATAATAAATAAATAAATAAATAAATAAAATAATGTAAAGTCAGAAAATAAAAAAAGAAAAATAAAAAATGATTTTTTCATTTTAAATTTTCAATGTTTTGACTTACCAACTAGGGAAGAAGAAATTTGACCTTATGTTTAATTAAATTTTGCAAATATTAATAATAATTTTTTTTATCGCGCAATCTTCTATTTGAAAAATAATATTAGTAATTTGTATAGTAGTTTTCGATTAATTAAAAAAATGACTCGACGATAAAAATTAAAATTAAAATATCAGTTTAAAAATTTTAATATTATCCTTAAAAAAAATTTTAAAAAAAATGAAAAACTTTATTTTAATTTTAATTTTAGATGAAAATCCTTAATATTTTATTTTCAAAATATTGTACAATTTTACAAAAATATCTTAAATATAGAGCTTTCAAAGTTTAATTAATATTTTTAAATTTTTTATTAATACTTCTTTTTGAAATGTATTTTTTTTAAAACAATTACTCACTATTTTCCTAAATAATAATAATAATAATAAACACTAAAAATATTTTTCATTTATTAAAAGTATTATTTAAACTATTTTTGAACCGATAATTTTTATAAGTATTTTTATTAATTTAATTAATAAAAAAATTCAAAAGCCCACCATTAAAGAGAAGTAACTAACCTGGGACAAAAAGATCTGAGGAGGGACGACAGACCAAAGGAACGGAAGCTGTACGGAACCACGGCAACGGAGGAGCTCTGCGGCGGCTCAGATACCGGACGACGACGGAACCCACCGGCGGGGGCGGAGGTGTTTATCTTATTAGAAAGTTGAAGAAGCAAGGTTCGGAATCTGAGGATTGTGAAGCTCCAGAAATGACCAGAGTTGGACGACATGACGGACGGCGGGCGGCGGCTTCTCCGGTGAGGATCTCCGAAGACGAGACGGCGGATGAACACAAGAAAGTAAAGGGTCAGAGGATTTGAAGATGATGAAATATGATGGATTGTTGTTGCTTACAAGCCTTAATTTGATTGCCTTGTGGCCCTAATTTGGTTTCTCTCTTGGGGTTACTTCCAAGTTCAAATGTATTGGTAATATTAGCTTTTAAGTGTGGGTTTCTTTGTGTTTTAAGCTTTAGATTTGTGTCTATTCCTTGTCCGTTTTGGCCCGTTACGTATCGTCGTCAACCTCATGATTTCAAAACGCGTCTACTAGAGAGAGATGTTGTTTCTTTCCCCAATCGATCTCTGAGATCTAACAATTCACTCCCCTTGAAACCAACGTCCTCGCTAGCACAGTGTTTGGTACTGGCCTCTAATACCTTCATTCCCTTCTTTCGACCACTATGGGATCTAACAATCCACCTCCTTAGGGGCTAGCATCTTCGCTGACACACTGTTTGATGCCTGGCTCTAATACCTTCATTCTCTTCTCCGATGTGGGATCTGATAATTTACTCCCTTAGGGGCCAACGTCCTCGCTAACACACTGTTTGGTGTTGGGCTCTGATACCTTCATTCCCTTCTCCGACCGATGTGGGATATAATAATTTACTCCCTTAGGGACCAGCGTCATCGCTGACACACTGACTCTGATACAATTTGTAATAGTCTAAGTTCATAGCTAGCAAATATTGTATGTTTTTGCCTCTTATGTATTACCGTCAGCCTCATGATTTTAAAACTCGTCTACTAGGGAGAGGTTTCTACACACTTATAAGTAATACTTTGTTTCCCTCTCCAATCAATGTGGGATCTCACATATATTCTCAATATTGGTGTTAAAATGTAAAGAAGAATTGAAATCACATACGCACACACAAAACCCACTTACGTATCACCGAACAAACACACACGAAACTCACTTATACGCACCGGTAGTAAGTTGATAGCATAATATTTATGATATACATCTTTAAACAAACCCATTTTGACCAGAGTTGATATAGATTTTGAAACGAGTTAATTATCGACAATGATCTATTAAAAAGATTTGGCTTATAAGGATCTCAATTATGTTGGATGAAAGTCCCACCGCGACTAATTCAGGGAATGATCATAGGTTTATAATCAAAGAATACTATCTCCATTGGTATGAGACCTTTCGGGAAAGTTCAAAACAAAATCATGAGAGCTCATACTCAAAGTGGACAATATCATACCATTGTAAAGAGTCGTGTTGTTCTTGGTTCTTGTTTTATTGCCGGTGACATAATAGATTAGTAGAAAGAAACCTTGATTCAATCCATTGCCACCGCCAAAAAAAAGTCAACCATTCATAACAAACAAACATCCAATCCAGACATTCAAAGCTTTCGGTGACCTACTTTCATGAACCACTCCTCTCCATCCACCGCCGCCGCCTTCTCAATCTCCACCTCCTCTGTTCTTCAAATCCGCCATGGATTTCCTCTCTTCCAGAAAGCTTCTCTCCGACGACGCCGACGACGACCTCAACAAATTCTGCCCTGAAGACTGCCTCGATCACCCTTCCGATTCCTGCTCCTCCGATTGCCTCGAAAAATGCCCTACACTCTGTTCTTACATCTCTACTTCAATCCCGCCACCCGATTTTGACGATTTCAATCCCTCCTCCGCCGCGAAATCGCCGCATAAACTCTCCAATTTGGTTACCTTAACCATCGCTCTCCTCTCTTTTACCTTCCTCCTCGTCCTCTGCTACGCCGTCTACGCTCGTTTCTACTCCGCCCGCCGTAGACAGATCCGCCGCCTCGATTCCCCACCGCCCCCAACCCACCACCACCACCACCACAGCCCTGTTTTGGATCACCCCATTTGGTATATCCGCACCATCGGCCTCCCGCCGGCTGTTATCGACGCCATCGCCGTCTGCAAATTCAAATCCGGCGAGGGTTTGATCGATGGAACAGAGTGCTCTGTTTGTTTAAGCGAATTCGAAGAGGATGAAACTTTAAGACTCTTGCCAAAATGTAGCCACGCTTTTCATCTCCCCTGTATCGATACTTGGCTTCGATCCCACACCAATTGCCCCATGTGCCGCGCTCCCGTCGTAGCTCACTCCGCTCCACCGACACCGACACCGCCTCGGGCCGAAACCCAGATGGCGAATTTACAGGAGGAAGAAGAAAACGCCGCCAATTCAGGGGAAAATTCCACGAGAAACGAAGAACAAGATGAAATCCATTTAGAAAGTGACAATCAGGCGATGAGAAGATCGGTGTCTTTAGATTTGCCCTCTGCTCTTCAAATCAGCTCTGTTCTTGGTGTTGTTAATGAAAAAATGGATTGGGAAGGTGAATCGGAGCAGAGAAATGGGAATTGCTCGGAGAAATCAGAGGGGAGTATGAACAGGTCAGTTTCTTGCAGTGGGGGGTTTCTGATGAGAAGCTCCAATCATAGTTGATATCCATTTTTGTGAGGCGTCTCTGAAGATGGGGATGTCCATGGGAACTCTTGGAAAGCTGAGAGGTCTCTTAAGTTCATAATGTTTATTGTGAAGTTTGTGAAAATGGCTGCTCAGATTACTTGAATATCATGAACATTAGAGTGAGTGAGGAAATCTGGATATGAACTCGAGTTTTTCGAATGATTTTATGATGATATCGTACGTTTGTATATCCATGATGATTAGAATGCCTTGTTTTTCTCCACAAAGTGGCTAATAAAATTGTGTTGATGGTCGGGTTGGATTGGTCGAGTTAAACTCCTGATGATATCTAATGTCTGATCGGCTTTGTTTTTACTAGCTAGAGGACTACATGAATGTCAGACCGAGTCCGAATGAGAGTGATTCTAAGAATAGTTTAATCACTACATGTCTTATGCCACTTAATTTTGATATGGTTTTTGACGGTGGAGTAATTGTTACGCGTGAGGAGAGGAACTAAACATTTTTTTAGAAGGATGTGAAAACCTCTCCCTAGCTGATGTGTTCTAAAACTGTGAGACTGACGGCAATATGTGACGGGGCAAAACGGACAATATGTGCTAGTAGTGGGGTTGGACTATGACGATGATATTAAAGTTAGACACCGGGTGGTGTGCGAGCGAGGACGCTAGCTTCGAGGAGGTGAATTCTGAGATCCCATATTAGTTGGAGAGAGGAACGGAACTCTTATAAGGGTGTGGAAAACTCTCTTATTACGACGATATGTAACAGGCTAAAACGGACAATATCTACTGATAGTGAACTTGAGCTGTTACAATACATGACTAAACTGTTACAAACCTAAACTTTCTAATAGACCAATTTCTTTCCGTCCACCAAACTTAGAGCTACTTACGAGAGTACTAAAATACCGTATTATTTGTTTGACTTACATATTTTACAACACAGTGACCGCCTTTTCGAGCGAGCCTTTGAGATCACCCAACCTATACAAACAAGGGGTTTGGGCTCGAAAGCCGACCCCAATGTCTACTGCTCCAATTCTTGTGAGTGTGAAAGTTGGCGAAGTGAGAAGTAGTGTTTCTTCTCGCTGCTTCAAAGCTTACGATTTCATATTTTATTTTGCTGGTTAATGGGGTTCTTTTCACCGTTTCCTCACGGTATTACTTTTCTTGTACTGGGGTCTCATTCGATCCAACAATGAGGAGCCGAGATGTAAGGCAGATTCATACGACCATGTGGAGTGATACAAGATCTATAGTCCTATGGCATTCTCACGAAAAGAAAACGTGGCTAGTAGATTACTGTTTTGTTATCGTAGAAAACAAATTCTCATCACTGTTTTTGATTCACGGTTTGATGTTATGGAGTCTTCGTATAAGTAGTAATGATCACCTTAGAACTTAGGCGGGAGTCTTTGACGGACACTCTAAATATGAGATCTGATGTCGGTTCGAGAGAAAAATGAAACATTTCTTGTAAGTACGTAGAAACCTCTGATGATCGTCCATAATTTAATAACTCTCTACGCCTATTGCCTCCCCAAGTGTTCAAAAGCCTACAAACTCGTGGCGGATTCGATAATCAGCTAAACGGAGATTGGGTCACCAAGCGAAGGATCCATTTCCATGGCTTCTCGCTCTCTCTTCCTCTCCTTAAATCGGTAAGTATGGCTGTTCTTAATTTCATTGCAATTTTGTTCTTTCTTCGTTATTTGAGGATTTGTGTAAATCGATCTGAACCCTAGAAAATTCAGGAATAGAGGCTTCTTAAATCAAAGTTTCAAAGCGATCCTGGTCTTCAATGAAGCCAGTGTTTCGAACTATTGCTCTCATGGAGCACTGAGGAGTGAATCTCTTGATGAATCAGTGAATTCTGAAGAAACCAATGACTTGAAGAGCAGAATATTTCGGCTCAGACTTCCCAAGCGAAGTGCTATCAACGTTATTCAGAGATGGACGAGTGAGGGCAATCAAGTTACGATCACTGAGCTCCGGAACATCTCCAAAGAACTCAGAAGGCTTCAGCGGTATAAGCACGCTCTTGAGGTAATGTTTTATCTGTTTTCTTCTTGCTTCTTACAGTATTTATCAGATGATCAATGACAGTTATAAAATGAAAGAGAATTTTTTTCTGTGGTTCTTTGATGGATAATTGTAACTCTGGAAAACAGAATTTTCTAAATTTTTTCTTTGGAGTCGATCATTTATTTTATACATGCTTGGATATGGATAAGATATCAATTTTTTATCTGCATCCAGTTGGTTTGTTTGATTTGTGCTCGAGCCTCCATTTGAAAAATTTGTAGAAAATGTCACCTAATCCGTAGGTGGAGACGAATTATGGTAATTTGTTTCGATCCGAGATGTAAACAAAGACAAGGATAATCCTTATTAAAAAAGGACTAGTGTTGTTGCGGTAACTCTCAATGAAATCAAATCAAATGTGCAGCCCTATGTAAATGAACACGAATATAAGTGTAAGCTGTCTTCGTAAAATTGAACTTATGTACTCGTCATCTGTATAAACGCTGTTGAGGAAGTTTGTATCTGTAATTCTTAGCTATAGTATAGTGTAGTTAGTTAAGTCTCCTAGAGTGAAGTATACTCTCTAACCTTATTTTTAATATTAAAACAAGAAGATTTGTATGTCTACGAACCAGAATGTTTGCGCCTTCCAATCAAACATTTGGAGTTTGATACAAGCTATACAAATACTCATATAATTTGCACAAGCACCCTTTGTTAGGTGGTTCTTTTGTCTCAAAAGCTTTAGCCTTCAGTGTTGTCCTAAGACAACTAAAGATGTCTTGAAATAGGTCGTGCACGGAAGTTCTTTTAGCGAATAGGAAGAAAGAAAGAAAGGAAAGGACTATTGTGAGATCCCTCATCGATTGGAGAGGGGAACGAGTGCCAGCGGGATGCTGGGCCCCAAGGGGGTGGAGCGTAAGGTCCCACACGGTTGGGGAGGAAAACAAAACGTTCTTTATAAAGATGTGGAAACCTCTCTCTAGCAGACGCGTTTTAATACCGTGAGGCTGACAACGATATGTGACGGACCGAAGCGGATAATATCTGCCAATGGTGGGCTTAGGCTGTTACAAATGGTATCAGAGCTAGGCACTGAGTGGTAAGCCAACGAGGACGCTGAGCCCCGAAGCGATCTCATAATCGATGTGGGATTATGAGATCTCACATCGATTGGAGCGGGGAACGAGTGCCAGCGAGGACGCTAGGTCCCAAAAGGGGTGGAGGGGGAGGGGTGGATTGTGAGATCCCACATCGATTGAAGAGGGGGACGAGTGTCAGTGAGGACGCTGGGCCCCGAAGGGGGGTGGATTGTGAGATCCCACATCGATTGGAGAGGGGGACGAGTGTCAGTGAGGACGCTGGGCCCCGAAGGGGGTGGATTGTGAGATCCCCCATCGATTGGAGAGGGGGACGAGTGCCAATGAGGACGTTAGTCCCCAAAGGGGGTGGATTGTGAGGTCCCACATCGATTTGAGAGGGGAGCAAAAAACTTTTTATAAGGTGTGGAAACCTCTCCCTAGCAGACGTGTTTTAAAATTTTGAGGGGAAACCTGGAAGGGAAAGCCCGAAGAGGACAATATCTGCTAGCGGTGGGCTTGGGCTATTACAGTTTTTCGGACCAATGCTTTGTTAAAAATGGCTATTTTGGGAAACGAGTGCCAGTGAGGACACTGGGCCCTGAAGGGGGTGGAGTGTGAGATCTCACATCGGTTGGAGAAGAGAAGGAAACTTTCTTTATAAGGGTGTGGAAACCTCTCCCTAGTAGACGTGTTTTAAAATCTCGAGGGAAAGCCCAAAAAGGACAATATTTGCTAACGGTGGACTTGGGCCATTACAATTTCTAGACAAATTACAAATTACTGGGACCATAGTTAATTGGAGTAGACCATTGTGTTGATAGGCCTTGATATTTGCAGCAGTAAGTCTTAGTCTCAAAGTGATATGGCCCATATCTTGCCCTGCCGAAATACCACTCTCAATCTTGCCCTTTATGCCACATATAGAGGAGAGAAATTCCACAACTGATATACTCAACAAATGTTTTGTAATGAGATAAATGCAAAAAGTATATTTATGGTCAATATGAGAAATAGAAAGTTGTAGCTCAGACTGTGAGAGTTCCTGTAATAGCCCAAGCCCACTCTTAACCGATATTGCCCTCTTTGGACTTTCTCTTTCAAGCTTCCCCTCAAGGTTTTCAAAACGCGTCTATTAGAGAGAGGTTTCCACACCCTTATAAAGAATGCTTTGTTCTCCTCCCCAACTAGTGTGGGATCTCACAATCCATCCCCCTTCGGGACCCAGCATTCTCGCTAGCACTCGTTCCCTTCTCCAATCGATGTGGTACCCCTCAATCCACCCCTTTTGGGTCCTAGCGTCCTTGCTGGCACACCGCCTTGTGTCCACCCCCTTTTGGTGCTCAGCTTCCTCACTGGCACATCGCCAAGTCTCTAGCTCTAATACCATGTGGAATGCCCCAAGCTCACTGCTAACAGATATTGTCCTCTTTGGGCTTCCCCTCAAGGTTTTTAAAACACGTCTGCTAGGGAGAAATTTCCACACTCTTATAAAGAATGTTCTTATGTAGAGTCTTCCTTAATCCTTCGATCCTTCGAGAACATAGCTCACAGATTCCAAAAGTTCAATTACATGGTTCAAGAATTTCATTGAATGTTCCTTTAAAGCATACACGGCTGCATAAAATTACTAATGATATAATTATATGCTCATACTCAAGAATAAGGGTTCAAGTTGCATTGTACTACTACAAGTGAAATTGAATTTTATGTCTGCTAAAATCTTCCTTATTTCTCATTTGTGAAAAGGGTAAGAAAATGGTTAGAAGAACACCGTCATTTTCTTTGGCTCATAATCTGTAGAACACTGATCAGGGGCTTTTATGCCATCTTCTCTATTTACAATGAACTGACAATCTGTTTACCATACTTGCCTGCAGATTTTAGAATGGATGGTGTCTCATAATGAAAACGAGTTATCCGATTCTGACTTTGCAATCCGCATTGACTTGATGACGAAAGTTTTCGGTATCGATGCTGCTGAACGATACTTTGAAGGTCTGCCAATCAACGCCAAAACTTGTGAGACTTATACTGCTCTCCTTCACTCATTTGCGGGGTCCAAATTGACTGAAAAGGCAGAAACTCTTTATGAAAAAATGAAGGAGTCAGGTATACCTCTCACTGCCCTTCCATTCAATGAGATGATGACTTTATACACATCGGTCGGTCAAGTAGAAAAGGTATCCTCGATTGTCGACGACCTGAAACAAAGCAAGGTTCATCCTGACATTTTCACGTATAATCTTTGGATCAGCTCTCTAGCTGCAACATTAAATATCGATGGCGTTAGACGGATTCTCGATGAGATGAATCGCAACCCCAATTCAAATGAAGTCTGGGTGCGATATATCAATCTCGTCAACATATACATTACATCAGCTCATCTACTGCATTCCGAGTCAAACTCCGTAGTCGAGTCTGAGAGTGGCATTACGCAACGAGAATGGATTACATACGACCTCCTCATTATCTTGTATGCTGGTATGGGAAACAAAGACAAAATTGATCAGATTTGGAGATCATTAAGGATGACAAGGCAAAAAATGACGAGCAGAAACTACATTTGCATTCTATCTTGTTACCTGATGCTTGATCACTTGAAGGAAATTGGTGAAGTTATTGATCAATGGAAACAATCAAGTAGTGGAGATTTTGATGTTTCTGCTTGTAACAGGCTTGTAAATGCGTTTGTTGAAGCTGGTTTCAAGGAGAAAGGCAACAGTTTTGTCACCATTTTGAAGAACTGTGAACCCACAGAAGCATAGCGGTAGGTTTAAATCTTAACTTAGTCTTATCTTGTTTTGATTCATCAGGTTACAAATGTTGTCTCCTAATGCTCTGAATTTTGAGTAAAAGATATTGCTTCTGTCATTATTATTTTGTTTTCACATTTTACTTGCGGGACCTGCCCGAATGGGCGGGGGATTCTCCGTTTAGATGGGAAATGGGAAGGGAGTGGAGAACATTTTTTCTTTGTTAGATAAAGGGGGCTGGGGACGGGATGGGACGAGATTATATTCCTTGTCTCTCTGCCCAATTTCTTGCTCCACCGTGTTTAATATAAATACTAAGCAATTTCCCGCTCTGCCCAATTATGAACACTACTTTCGCGTATTTATATATTTGTTTTTAGAATTTTAAAAGAATCATGTTAAGCTAATCAAGACTAAAGAAATTAACAAGGCTAAAGAAAAATTCCAAAATACAGTTGCATTAAATATATTCAAGTTTTATTTATGTCGAGCTCAAGATAAGTTTCTCTATAATGATCTATGTCCAAGATTCGATACCTGATAGCCCCGACATCCTCCTACAACCCATATGATATGGTCACGTTACTTATTGCTTCTAAGAGTGAAAATTATCTTCACATACCAACATGAATCATTCTAACATGTTTTTCCTCACTCACATGCATCCTAGAAACATGTTTTGTCCTCACTCACATGCATTCTAGAAAAATCTCCACGAAGTCATCCGACATAAAATTGCTCAAAACAAAACATATTTAACCAAGAAGCTCCGATGATTTTGAGCTACTGAAAATGAAGGTGTACTTTGTTGGTATAGATAGTAGTTTTTATTTCAAACATTTTTTAGTGACCACGAAGCTCTGATGATTTTGAACTACCGAAAATGAAAGTGTACCTTATTGGTATAGGTAGTAGTTTTTATTTCAAGCATTTCTAAGTAATTCTATCCTTAGGATCACTCTCATTCGAATGTAGTGTCAGTTCATTCATGTACAACTTTTTTATTCAGGTATCACATTCTCGAACACTAATTGCACATAATGAATTCAGCTATAACTCATAAAACATTAAGACACTTTCATTTCTAAAACAATGATTTCAAACTTCTTCAAGTAAGACTTCATTTGTTCTTCGATAATTACAGATTCTCATATGATTTATATGAAAATAACCCTCGATTATCACACACTTTAACATATTTGAAATGAGAAGAATTAGAAAAGGAAGGAAGAAAAAAAAAAAAAAAACAAACAAGAACATTGAAGTCACATGGGCATGTCGCATTAAGCTCACAAAGGTAGATAATAACGTACAACCATTTATCCTATCATTTATTGTCAAATGATTCAACTTTATATTATCTCTTCTCTACTTCTTAGACATGTTTCAAACCCAAAGACATTGATTGTTTGTTTTGAAATTGTCTCATTATTTATGATTTACACTTTGAATTGACTATAAGATGCTTCAAATATTTTCAAAAAAATTGTACAAGTAGACTTAAAGTGTATTTTGAACCCGACAACTCGAACCGACCCAACTCGTATTATAGGAATTGGGTTAGGTTAGTTTTTTGAAACCGAAAAGATTGGATTTGGGTTCGAGTTCATTGGACAAAATTTTGAGTTCTCAAACCGAACAAAATCTTATAAAATATATTAAGAAAACTTTTGAATTTGTTTAAAGGGCAAAGTTGTAATTTGGTGGAATTACAAATTATTATTTATAATGTTTTTTTTTTTATTTTATACTATTTTTAAACATATTATTTATAATCCAACAAACTAGCGTTCATACTAACGTGATTTATGATAGGTTTATTAATTATGATTCATACGTACATTTTGGTTATTTTGAAGTAAAAACGTACTGTGTTCAACGTTCATAAATTATGCATATATTTAGGTAGTTTTAAAGCATATTGTTTTCATTTTACAGATTCTTGCATTTTTTGAAACGGGAAAATTTTGTCTTTGTGTTGGTTGGAAAGAGACCGTGAAAGTTTGTTTATGATTCTTTTAAATTTCGATCCATCATTTTTTCTTGGAAAGTAAATGATTTTAAATATCAAGTCATATCAAAGTTGCCTAAAATATTTTGATCATTCTAATGTATACTACAGCTTCTAAATCAACATTTGGTACGAGTGCAACTTGATTATTTTATGATTGATAGAAAATTAGCTTCATTAGAAGTTGAAAACAGTTTGAAGATTTTGTTCCAAAACCGAGTCAGATAATGCAAAGTTCTAATTTAATTATTATCTTTCTATTGCAACATACTCTACATTGTTATATCATAAGTATATAATTTTTCCTTCCAGATAATTTAGGGTCCTCGAGCTTCATCAATAAGTATCTTTCAAGTTGATTTACGTTCGTTAAGATGTTAAAATTCTGGATCGTTGTTAATGAAAAATTTATTTGTTTGAACGGTAGTTTGATTTATGCTTGTTTATGAACTTTTAATATATTTTATCTAAAATTGTATTGAATAATTAAGAATTGTGGATAGGTAAAGCTTTTTAAAAAAATATTTTTTTTAACAAGCCAACTGTGAAACAAAGGGTTGAGTTGAGTTGGGTTACCAATTCAACAAATTCGAACTTTTGTGTTGGTCTAAAATATTTCCTCAACGTAACTCAACCCAATCCAACTCGAACTTTTGGGTTGGTCCAAAAAATTTCCTTAACCCAACCCGATCCATGTACACTCCTAAGTAGACCATTAACATATTGAAATTAAATGAGAAGTATAATAGATGTCACGATCATGCTTGTCCAAAGCATGTTGCTTATGGCCGCATGATAGATGTCCTAGTCTTGCTTGTTTGGGTCGGTTGACAGGGACGTCAATCAATTGAGTCATAGTTTTGCTTGTTTGGGTCGGTTGACAGGGACGTCAACCAATTGAGTGGGGGAGGGTGTCATGGTCATGCATGTCCAAGGCGTGTTGTCAATGGCCGCATGACAGATGTCCCGGTCTTGCTTGTCCAGGACGTGTTGTCCATAGTTGCATGTACGTTCCAAACCCCTTTTACATGCTTTCATCCTAGATAGGTCTTTACAATTTCATATTATTGTGCATTTTCCAAATGTCCCTAAAAATGTTTGATTAATCCACCACACCTAAATGATGTGAAAGTTATCTTATTTATAATCAAATAAATTACAAGGATATGAAAATAGTAATAAGGGAAATAACAATAAATGGAAAGATAACTATGGCAATAAGGCAAATATTAGATATTTGCCTTATAATAAAATATCAAATATAATATATATGGTAAACTATAATTTATTACTAAATATCTTTAACACCTCACCGCAAGCTAAGCGTCGGATTTAAACGAACTTGAAGCTTGAATTTGAAAAGTTCAAAGAGGTTGAGAAACACTTTTTGTGAAGATGTCAACAACCTGGTTCAGAGGAGGCGTAGAGAAACACTTCCTTGGCCATCTAAAATTGCAGAGGGATCGTCGCTCAGCGGCTATGCTGCCTTGGCTTCAACGAGAATATGTCTAACCCATGAAGAGGGATTGTCGCTTAGCGACGATGCTGCCTTGGCTCTGGTGAGAATATGTCTTAACCCTAAGAAGTAGAAGGGGAAACCTAGAGCAAAGGACAAAGACTGAAGTCGGAAGAGTCGCCACATTGGGCGAAGGAGCCAATTTTGGCAAGAAGGGCAGCGACAACTTGGTTGACGAAGAGGCCAGTGCGGCACCCAGATTCAGAAGGTAAATCTCTGCAAAAAGGTTGATGGGCTTGTCGAGATTCCGTATATTTCTGAAGAGAACACTAATGAGGACCCTGAGATTAGGGTTTCTTTGAAGGATGAACGAAAGATTGAGAAGAAAATGAAAGAGACTATGTTGGTTGAGGGAAAATCGATTGAGTTGAAAAATGTGAGGTTGTATGTACAGAGTATGGCGAAAGGTGATTTGGAGGTCAATAGGGTGAAGCCAAAGAGTAATCAATCGACTCCCCCTATGGCAGCCATGGAAACTGCCCCTGCGGCGTCAAAGCCAGCAAGAGTGGTAGAGAAGAAGATGAGTAGGGTTCAAAAGCTATTGAAAAGAAAGGATCAGGGTTGCTAAACCGAAAGAGCTTTGATACCATGTGAATGTTTGCATAATCCACCCCCACCTAAATGGTGTGAAAGTTATCTTATTTATAATCAAATAAATTACAAGGATATGAAAATAGTAATAAAGAAATTTAAAATAAATAAAACTTAAATGCATACTAACCTATACTCTACGAAACTTAAATTGCAAACTATCCTTGCATGTGTCATGGTCTTTTTAGTTGCGATACCATCGTCAGCCGTATATTGTAGCTTGTCTTTACCTAAAAAATAAGAGTAGCACGACTTAATTATTTTAAGAAATACGACTCCACTATTGAAGTTAGATGCAAACATATACAATAATGAGTATCAGTCTATATTCCCTTAGGCGGCAATCCTAAGCAAGTAATTGGATGTGTATTTACTATTCTATACACAATTCACACGTACGAGTATGAACCCACCAGTCGGTTCGAACATCTTCTGGGCCCTTTCTTGGTCGAGCTAGCATTCTCTAGAGTTATTGTTGTCTTGACACCTGTTAGAAATAACAATCGTCGCAACATTACGATGAACGTAATGCTTGTTTTTTTGCCACGTAGCATACACGTTCGTACCATCATAAAAAGAGGCATATTTTTCAATGCATGAACACACAATGATGCATGAGGTCCCAACATTTTTCTTTAGTTATGATGTAAAACAACTCCTTATACATCATATTGTATGTCAATCATATCATATATCACGTCATGTCAAAAATATGTCATATCATATTTTCTACGTATCATATCGTATATCGTGTCATAACATGCATCGTATCGTCAATCAACTACATCATAACCTTCACTTATCAAACAAATTAAAGGGACATCTCTAATCATTATACGAAATCTTTGAGCATTTTAATGGTCAAGAATGATAAATTTTGAGCACTTTTCAAATTTAAAAACGTCATCCTCGTAGCTTCCATCCCAAGATGATCGGCTTGTATTCTCGTTCATCGCTTGTAGCAGCTTAGCACACGAAAAAAATAGTTTCAACTTCAAGCTCTCTGAATATGGCAGAAAACCAGAGTCGAACACAGACGAAAGCCAACATTACGTCCATGGCGGAGGAGAGAAGAAGACGCAGAAAGAAGGATCCAATGACATTGCATACTGTAGAAATCCCTCTCAATTCACATCCCGTGAGCAAAATCAATCGAATTTAAACAACTGTCCAAGCCGACATTTCAACCAGCATAAATCCACGCAACCCATGTGGGGATTTTCTTCCATTTGATTTCATTTCTCTGTTTCTTTTCTGCCCCACTCTGACAAATCGTTTTCCCCTCTTGTTCCCTTCAGCTAAATTTTCAGTTCAAACTTTTTTCAGGGTCTTCTCCCTTTCAATCATGTGGGAATCTGAGTCTGAATTTGTCAGGGGACGTGAATATGGCAGTGAACTCCTCAGTCCAACGAAACATGGCCTCAAGGCTGATGGGTTTGAGCAACGAGGCCGTTCATGGTTACTTCTTTAGAAACTGATTTCGCCTGTTTTTCTTTTGGATTGTACGCATTTTGTGTTAATGGGTGTAGTGCACATTAAGTGTTTGATGAAATGTCTGTTCCAAATTTGAACTGAGTTTTATGGTTTGTTTTGATTAGGCATGTTGGAACTGATATTCCTAGTGATATTCTTGTTCGAGTTGAAGATGTGGATTTCCATTTACATAAGGTATAGCACATTTGGTTTTTTTTTTTTTTTTTTTTTCCTGCTTGGGGGCTCTGTTTTTATGGAGTTGAGTTTTCTGACCATTTGTTTTGTTTTGATTTGTTATTTGTTCTTGTTGGGAAGTATCTTCTCTTTTCTCGGAGTGGGAAGATGACAAGAATTCTGTATGAATCAAGGGATCCAGACTTGAGCAAGATTGTTATGAATGACGTTCCGGGAGGGGCCGAGGCGTTTCTATTGGCAGCAAAGTTCTGCTATGGTGTCCCTGTTGATCTAATTGCGGCTAATATCGCTGGCCTGAGATGTGCTGCTGAGTATCTTGAAATGACAGAAGATTATGAAGAAGGGAACCTCATATTCAAAACTGAAGCGTTTTTAAGCTATGTTGTTCTGTCGTCTTGGAGCGACTCGATTATCGTTTTGAAAAGCTGTGAGAATCTTTCACCATGGGCAGAGAATCTTCAAATTGTTAGAAGATGTAGTGACTCCATAGCTTGGAAGGCCTGTGCCAATCCAAAAGGAGTGAGATGGTCTTACACTGGAATGCCTCAGGACATTCAGAATCCAAAATGGAACGAGATGAAGGAGCTGATCCCGAGTGGAAGCCATACCGCTCCTGTCGATTGGTGGTTCCAAGATGCATCAATCCTGAGGATTGATCACTTTGTGAGAGTCATCACTGCTATAAAGGTGAAAGGGATGAGATATGAACAGATTGGAGCTGCAATAATGTACTATGCATGTAAATGGCTTCCTGGTTTAGTTAATGATAGTAATGGAGAAGGCACTGAGGCCATGAACTGTAGTAATGGCAATGGCAATGGCAGTGGCAGTAGCAGCAAGTACAATTGGAATGGTGGCCTTCATATGGTTGTGGTAAACCCGAAAGACGAAATCTCGGCACTTCAGGCGAAAGAACGGAGAATGATTATCGAGAGTCTGATCAGCATACTTCCACCACAGAAGGACAGTGCTTCTTGTAGCTTTCTTCTGCAACTTCTGAGAATGGCAAATGAGCTGAAGGTTGCTCCTGCTTTAGCCACTGAACTCGAAAAACGAGTCGGGATGCAGTTTGAACAGGCCACGCTTACTGATCTTCTCATTCCTTCTTATAACACATCTGAGACCATTTATGATGTTGATCTTGTTCAGAGGCTTTTGGAACATTTCCTCATTCAAGAACTATCAGAAGCTTCAAATGCTAGCAGTCAATCCTTTTTGGGAAAAGATATCTTAGGAGGATCTCAAACCACTGCTAGTTCAGGCCAAAATGCAAAGATGCGTGTAGCAAGGCTTGTGGATAGCTATCTCACAGAGGTGGCTAGAGATAGAAATCTCTCCTTGACAAACTTTCAAGTCCTGGCTGAGGCTCTGCCTGAATCCGCAAGATCGTGTGATGACGGGCTTTATCGTGCAATCGATTCGTATCTGAAGGTACGTTGAATGCAAATCTCTTTATCCATTGACTGAGTTTCATTTTTTAATGATCATTGTGTTTTTAACTGTTTTTTCCTCAAAGAAAGGAAATGTAGAGCAAATATGCATAACTTGAACTGCATAACATTTGACATGGAACAAAAAAAAAAAAGACTTTGGATACATTAGAAATCTTTGTAAACGGTAACGGTTCAAGCCCACCGCTAGCAGATATTGTTCTCTTTGTGCTTTTCATTTTGGGCTTCCCGTCAAAGTTTTTTTAAACGCGTCTGCTAGGGAGAGGTTTCCACACCCTTATCAAGAACGTTTTGTTCTCCTTCCCATCCGAAGTGGGTTCTCACAATCTACCCCCTTCGAGGCCCAGCGTCCTTGTTGGCATGCCACCTCGTGTCCACTCCCCTTCGGAGCTCAGCCTCCTCGCTGGCACATCACCCGGAACTTGGCTCTAATACCATTTGTAATGACTCAAGTCCACCGCTAGTAGATATTGTCTTCTCTGGGCTTCTTCTCAAGGTTTCTAGAACGCATCACTAGGGAGAGGTTTCCACACCCTTGTAAAAAATATTTCGTTCTCCTCTCGAACCGACGTGTGATCTCACATAGACATTGTAAAAGGGATGGTAATGCAAAAGTTTCTTTACAAACTAAAGTAAGAAGTTCACTAGACTAAGGATCTCCATTGACTTTCTTATTGTTGTCCATTTCCTGTTACCCCAAACCAACAGGCACATCCAACGCTATCCGAGCATGAAAGAAAGCGGCTATGCCGAGTGATGGACTGCCAAAAGTTGTCCATTGATGCCTGCATGCACGCTGCACAAAACGAAAGACTCCCATTACGAGTCGTC